GGTTCGCGACATCTCTACTGTTTGTATGACTGCTGGAGAACATTAAATCCAGAAGAGCGAGATTATAAGTTTTATTCAAACGTTCATCAGTCATATACTAGAATCGATTATTTTCTGGTTAGGGCTGATACTTTGGATCGAGTCAGCAAAGTTATAATTGGACCTATAATATGGTCTGACCATGCACCAGTATGCTTAGTTATAAAAAATAATGCCGAATATAAATGCAGAGATAGATGGAGATTAAATGAAACTTTATTAAAATCGGAAATTAATACAGAAGAAATGCGTACTCAGGCAAGAGAGTTTTTCGAAAGTAATGATACTGGGGATGTTTCAAATGCTATGTTGTGGTGTACTTTTAAATCATATATGAGAGGATGTCTTATAAAATTGGGTGCATATAAAAAAAAAAGAAGGGAAGAGAGTTGAATGAGCTTAATATCGATTTGGTAAAATTGGGACGTCTTCATAAGATTACTTCAGATTATAAAATTTTGGAGGATATTAAGGAGATTAGATAAAAAATCATAGTAAGAACTCAAGAGAAAATAAATAAAGCAATGTTAATATTAAAGCAGGGATGGTATTATGGAAACAATAAAACAGGGAAAAATCTTTCAAATAAATTAAAAAATAAAAATAAACTTCAATGTATAAAATTTATAGTAGCTGGAAATAAAAAACTTTTTTCGCCAACTCAAATAGCTAACGCATTTGAAGAATATTATAAAAGTTTATACAATTTAAAACTTAATGAGCCGTCCAAAGGGGAAATACAGCAGTTCCTGGACAAATTAAGCCTGCCAAAAATATCTATTGAGAAATTAAGTCAGCTAAATGCCCCATTCTCCATTCAGGAGATTAGCAATACCATTAAAGCATTAACAGCGGGCAAAGCCCCAGGACCAGACGGCTTTTCATCGATATTTTATAAAAAATTAAATGATATAATTTCCCCATACATATTGAAGACATTCAACGAATTCACCACTCATAAAGTTATTCCATCAGAAATGCTCCAGGCCTCTATAATGCCAATCCCTAAACCAGATAAGGGCCAAATATACACTTAAATTATTGACCAATTTCTCTTATTAATTTAGACATTAAAGTGTACTCTAGAATTTTGGCTGATAGACTTAAACGAAGTATACCAGATATTGTACATTTAGATCAGAGTGGGTTTGTAGAAGGTAGGGGTACGTCTGATAACATCAGGAAATTAATGAATGTTCTATATCATGCAAGTCAAAGCTCGTCCCCTTTTGCTTTGGTCACCCTTGATGCCGAGAAGGACTTCGACCGTGTCAATTGGAAACACATGGAAGAGGTTTTGAAGGCCTTTGGCATAGATGGTGTTTTTAAGGAGTGTACAATGGCATTATATACAGATCCCCAAGCCAGAGTTTCAGGATTTATGTTTCAATCAAAATGGTTCCCAATTAGAAATGGGACGCGACAGGGTTGCCCTTTGGCACCCCTGTTATATATCCTCTCCATAGAGCCATTGGCAGCCGCGATCAGACAGAGCAAGGGTATCAGTGGGTTAAAGGTGAACACATTGGAGAATAAAATTGCACTTTATGCAGATGATGTTCTATTGACTCTTATGGATCCTATTAGATCTATTCCAGCTGTATTTCGTCTTATTAAAGAATATAGCAAAATCTCCGGCTATAAAGTAAAACACAAATTCTGACAAAAGGTTTAGTTGGGCCCGGGGAAAAAAAGCTTAAGAAGGAATTTAAATGCGACTAGGAAGCCAGGAATATAAAGTATTTAGAGGTAAGATTATCTTTGGAGTACAGAGAAATTGGAGAACTTAATTATACAGAAATTGCTACACAATTCAGGAGTATCCTAAAAAATTGGAGAGGGTTAGAACTGTCTTGGTTGGGAAGAATCGAAGCAGTAAACTCCTACCTACTCCCTAAACTGACATTTTTATTTGGTAATCTCCCGCTGAGGGTGTCATCCCAGACGTTACGCGGTCTTCAAAAACTAATATCAGATTATATATGGCAGGGCAGGCGACCTAGAGTGTCATTGGAAATTTACAGAGAGATTGGAAGGAGGGGGGAGTTTCTTTTCCGGACGTACAGAAATTATATATGATTAATATGGTAGTACATTTAATTAAGTGCGATAACTTTACAATATCAAGACCAACTTGGTTAGATATTGAAGAATCGGATTTTGGTAATATCGAACCTCTATTTCTTATGTGAATTTGTAAAAAAACATAAAATCTAACAATCCGATAAATAACACAATGATCTATATAGTAAAATATTTAAAGAAAAAATATGGTACTAAGCATATATCAAGAAATGCCCCATTAACATGCTTAAAACTTTATATAAAAGATATAAATATTTAAGAATGGGAAAAGTGCGGAATTGCAAAATTTGCGGAATTATTAGATGATAATAAAATATTGTCATTTCCAATGTTACAGCTCAAATATAACCTCCCTTCTAAAGAAATATTCAATTATTTAAGAATAAAATCTTTTATCATAGGAAAAACTTTTTTGGAAACCTCTCAAATTGACCAGTTTATAGCATCCCATTATAGGAAAAAAATTGCCTCCAGATTTAACCAATTTATAAGAAGCCAAAGGCAAATAGATAAATAGTGATGTCGCGAACCCGAAATTTTCGGTTCGCGAACGCGAACTTCCGCAAATGTTCGCGAACTGGCGAACCGCCCGAAACGCCATTGACTTCAATGGGGAGGCGAATTTTAAAACACACAGGGACTCTTTCTGGCCACAATAGGGATGGAAAAGTTGTTTCAAGGGGACTAACACCTGGACTGTGGCATGCCGGAGGGGGATCCATGGCAAAACTCCCATGGAAAATTACACAGTTGATACAGAGTCTGGTTTTAATCCATAAAGGGCAGAAATCACCTAACATTCCTAAATCACAATCAATATGGATTGACACCTGACATATGACATATTGACACCTTGACATATGGATTGACACCTGTCCTCAGAGCCCCTGATGCACACGACACAGAGAATAGAGACTGGTCCCCCACATAGGGTCACTTGGCAGATATGGATTGACACCTGTCCTAAGGATCCCTGATACACACTGACACAGAGCAGAATAGGGACTGTTCCCCCTACATCGGGTCACTTGGCAGATATGGATTGACACCTGTCCTAAGGTTCCCTGATACACACTGACACAGAGCAGAATAGGGACTGGTCCCCCTACATCGGGTCACTTGGCAGATATGGATTGACACCTTGTTACAAACTGCTATTTGTAACGGGCCCTTTAAATGGCAAATTGCCCTGCTTCCCTGGGTTGTGGAGAAGCCTCTTTGCCAGCCTCCTCCCGCATGACTATGGCCCCTGGGAGATTGTGAAAATGTATGCACTTTTATTTGGTGTGTATGGCCCTTTAAGACTGTCGGTGGGCATATTGGGGCTTATGGACTCTTTATGTGACTGGTGCTGGCCCTTTAAACACCTTTTTTGGGACATCAGGAAGATTGGGACACTGCCCCTTTAAGGCCGTGTCCCCAGACTTGTTGGGGACACGCCCCTTTAAGACGGTGTCCCCTGTGTCCCCAGACCTGGTGCAAACCCTTGTGCCTGCCTGGCTATTTCCCACTTGGTTCAGTAAATGGGAAATTATTTCAGTTGCAGAGACTAAGTCCCATTCGGCGATGGGACTTAGTCTTTTTTTCAGCCGTTTTTTTCAGCCTTATTTCAGTTGCAGAGACTAAGTCCCATTCGGCGATGGGACTTAGTCTTTTTTTCAGCCGTTTTTTTCAGCCTTATTTCAGCTGTGAGAATCTCAAAGTCCCATTCGGTGATGGGACTTGGTCGTTTTTTCAGCCTGAAATAGACCGACCTCACAGCCCAAATCTATGGAACTGTTTTGGGCAGGAAAATGTGCTTGCGGTCGGTCATAAAGGGACCTCCAGCTAACTTTTTTAACCCCTGGATGGATTTGGCTGATTTTTGGTTATGTTTATGTTTTAAGTGTGCTGATTCCAAATATGTAATTATGAAGATGGGATGTGTAGTTTTAAAGTTACAGGGTATGGCTAAAACTGTATTTTTACTGCCTGTGTTTAATTATGTTAATCTCTTCCCAAACGCCATTTCGTTCAAAGTGGAGAGAATGTTAAAAAAATATATTTTTGTTCGGAGTGTGAGAAATGCTTTTCAGCCGCTTCTAATCTTAAGCATCATTTGAGGAGCCATACAGGAGAGAAACCTATTTGTGGTGTGTTTAGTATTGTTCTGATCAGTTTAATACCTTCCGCGTCTCCTATCAGTGGACGTGTATATGGCAGCCATTTTAGGAACCGTACACCTGGGACCTGAGCAAGGTCACCTCGTTCAACAGGCGACAACATTTGTCCCTGGAAAACTATCCTGGACATTCTGTACAATTTGTATGGATATGGCAGTGATTTCTGTAACAGGAAGATGGAAGAAGATGCTTGGTCGGTCCTCTTAATTCAAATTTGGGGCACTGCACGGTCAAGCTAATGTGCCACCAGATAGGAGTGGTGTGTTTAGTATTTTTCTGATCAGTTTAATACCTTCCGCGTCTCCTATCAGTGGACGTGTATATGGCAGCCATTTTAGGAACCGTACACCTGGGACCCGAGCAAGGTCACCTCGCTCAACAGGCTTGCAGCATATCCTCCAGGAAGAAGAGCCTGAACCCTTACCGGCTGCACGTGTCTTACCTGTACATGGAAAGCTGCTGTGGTTCCTTGATGAGCTAGCTGCCCGTGAGTTAACATGTCCCGTGGAGAAGCACTCTGTCCTGTAAAGCCTCACCAAAAAAAAGGAGTGGT